ATGTCCATCTGCAGATATTTTTAGGCTTCATGTCGCGTGGCCTGTGGTTAGATGTATGGTATTTTATTGTTGTAGCAATGTGACACAATGGTCATCCTTTTAAGGACTTTTGGAAGACAGTTGCTGTAACTTCCCCACTAAGCACCCCTTGCTGCGTTGTACTCATATTCTCGGAACTGGTCGGATGATTAGGTCAATTTGATCCTCTCTGAGATTTTTAGCTCACGCTGTGAGCGTAATAATGTTATTCACTTGGCTCGGATAATCCCTCGAGATTCAAATATTATTTCCAAGGGTGTCCTGGCCAGATAGCAGCACGGATCCACAAGTTCCACATGACATTTACGAATTCAGCAGACGTAACCGATTAATATTGCACACCAGAAAAATACGTCATTTTAGAAATTGTGAATGTAAGACAAATAGAGTGAAATTAAAAATAATGGTACCAGATTGTTAAAAGATTAAGCGCATAGAATAAATTATGGGTTTTTGGAGTCCAACTGTTCTAACGTCCAGGCTGCCCAGGCTGTACTCTGGCCAAAGTACAACAGATGAACTATTCGATTTAATTTATACCAGAATAAGCAGTGTTCCCACAACGTGTAAGGACGATACAATTAATGAATAAAAATCTATAAATCCTAGCAAGTGAAAGCTCTTGCCGAGTTATTCCTGCCAAGATGAGAGACATTCAGCCAATTAGGTAGCTGCCGCTTGGGAGGCCAAGAATTCTTACATGGGATGGACACCGGCCGTGCCGTGATTGGCTGGGAGTCGCGGGCACTGTTGTTTTGTGAGCGTGACATTGTTATGAAGCACCGGGTCCCCGTCAGTGGCTACGGCGTGGTGTCACGAGACGCATGATGACGGTGGCGCACGTGGTCGCGACGAAGACGTGCCGGAGAGGCACGGGCCTAACCTCGTGCCCATTCATTCTGCACGTTTTATCACAAAGCACACCTGTGTTCAAATACATCCTTCAGAAACATGTTGTGACGAATTTGTGTTGGGAAATTTTCCGTCACGCATCGTGACTGTGAGTCTGCACGTACTTGAGGACATCCTCTTAGAAAGGACCTGTGTATGTATTCTTTAAACTAAAAAAAACTGAATGGAATCCTTGTAAGTCGTAACCAGTCAATAAAGACTGCGAGAGGGTCACTTCGTCTGAACCATAACACTTCCCCTGTATACCAGCGCACAAATCCCAGAGATAAAATGCGGTTAACGTACACTTTTTGGTGGCATGAAATTGGGCGTTAAGAGCACGCAGCCTCATCGGCGGTGTTGGCGGCTACCACCACTCGTGCTTAACTCAAGCAAGACTGAAGGAGATGGTTTGGAACAAATTTTAAATCCTAGCTTCAAGGCATAAGCAAAGCACGGGGATGTGAAGCGAGTGGCGTTGGTGGCTTGCGGTGTAGTGCCCTTGTGTGCCTGCTATGCGTGCTATGCGCGGTATGCATCTGTTGGCTGTAAAACTGCAGATGGATGTGATTTTATTGGAGTGGAAGACAACAGGGTTGCATGAAAAGGGCGCACAATCACTGTCAGTAACTCAATTTTCAGCAGCTGTGACGGAGCGTTGGCCTCCAGGAATTTTCATTCACCGTGTTTCACACTAATCTCTGGTGTTCACATTCGCGTTGATAGCGTTTTTATGTTACTGTTTCAGTCAGGGGCGGAGCCAGGATTTTGACTTTGGGGGGGGGGCTGACTTCAATATTCTGAGATATCCAGTGTTTATTTTCCAATGGGCGCCACAAATGTATAAAACAAATTTTATTGGATTTGAACGCGGAGTTTATTAATAGGTCGGAGCCGCTGATGTGGCTAATAAGTTTGAAAGGCTGCCGCTCAAGCAGCCTGCAGGGCAGCACACAAGGTGGCAGCCAGCATTTTGCAGCAGCCGGACATCCGGTTATCCCGATTACCGACTCCCAAAATTTCAGGGGGGGGGCTGAGCCGAGCCCCCCAGCCCCCCCTGTGGCTCCGCCCCTGGTTTTTAGTGGTGAAGTTTTTTTGTTTGTTAAAAAAATGTAAACGGCAAAAAAAGCCCAAACATTTTCACCATCGCCTGTTTTTTTTTAAGCGCCACTTTGAGGACCTTTCTCACTGTGACAGCCGGAGGACATTACACAGAGAAAAGTTTCAACAGAGTATTCATGATGTTACACCTGTTGGTGTAAACGGTCTCGGCGTGAATGAGCACGCTACTGCAGAAAGTGTGAGCAAATTTGTGTGAGTTTGCACTGAAGATTGTGTGTGTGTGTGCGCGCATGGGCAGGTGCGTTTGTACAAGGCTTCTGTTTTGTTGCGCGCGTGTATAAACACAGGTGCCTATTGGGTATGTGTGTACGTGTGTTGGGACTAGGTTGTGGGGAGCGGTGGTGTAGCGGTTAGCGCTACGCTGCGCTACGAACCTGGCGACCCGGGTTCAATTCCCGCTCACGGCCAACACCACAGTGACGATTATCTGAACCGGTCCTGGGCCTCCCCTAGGTCGACTCGTCCTCAAATGAGTACCTGATGCGATGTGTCACCATTGCTGGGCGTTGTGCTGGCCACCCACCCACTTGTGTACCGTTCCGGCCTTCATAGGTGCTCGCTACAAGAGGACTTGCCCCCAGTAGCCTGTAAGACGATACAGGGATCTTTGTCTTTGTGTGTTGGGATCAGGGTGTGAGTTGTTGTGCACGTGGCTGAAGGTGTTGACCACGCTGAGTTTGTCGGAATTCGCAGCCTACGTAAATTTAAACAAATGAAATGTAGCCATAAATTATCGACAATAGTTCCAGTGATGGTTTAAAAGCCTTAATGAGTTAACGAAATTAATCACCTGGTAATGTACGGCACGTTGATGCGTGTGTACATGCTATTGATCATGCAGCGCCAGTTATTTGAAGTCGGGCACGTAACTGGGCGGTGACTCGGCCCCAACAGCAGCACGTTCGCCGCTTGTTTCAGAGGTTCACGGTTCGAATCCAGCAACTGCCCTGTTTAATACTGTGGGTGTAATTACCATGATGATGCTACTTCACGTCTTCTGAACAGCAGACGTGAAGTAGATCCCCTGGTGCCGTTCGCACGAGGAGGCCGTTGCGTGCATCGGCGTCCAAATTGCCAATTTTTTTTAAATGACGCGCAAACTGCTCAATTGAGATGAAACATTGCAATTGTCGCTCCCTACTTGCAGATTCGTTGCCCAGGTTACTTGCAAATAAGACTAATCCTGGCCTCTGGAATTCTCACTTGCTTAAATAAAATAAACTTGAAAAAACTTGGTGCATCGATTAGATTGATTCTCTTGCTCATGATACACAGACCAACTCCCATAGAGTTATTTTGAATTCTCTACGAGTACATTTTAATTGAATTACGTGAACCCTGCAGCCACTTGCGGTGCTACATTCGCCACATTGTTAAAAAAAAGGATAAAGTCTTAAATTGCGACCCCCGAATCCTGGCAATTCCTCGACTTACGACACGGTCGATCGTTAGAGGCCTATTTTAATACTTCGTCATTGTCCATTAATTGCTCAGGATTTACCGTGAACACACTTGTGGTGTTATTCTTAGTACCCTAGCCCTTATCTGGTTTTATAAAGCACGTGTATGTTTACTTTTGGGTAAGGGAGGCGCTAATGAGGTTTGAGCAAATAGAACAGTTAAAGGGGGGGATGCACAGTGTATGTGTATTCCATACAGCTTGACGACAAAACATGATCACCAAACGCTAAAATACTACAGGTTACTTTTCCCATGTGGTAACCCCGAACATCGGTACACACGTCGTCATAATGCTAACAATAAACAGTGCTCTTGTCGATACATTGACCATACTTCTCAGCGCTGGTGAGTGCGGATTGGCGACGGTTGTGAGGTGGGGGCGAGGGGGGGGTCCTGAGGGCTGATTCAGATAACCACTCACCACTGATGTCCATCGCAGGCCCAGATTCAAAGTCAGAGCGGCTGGGTTTCACGAGGCGGTGCGCTAACCACACTGCACCATCACTACTCCTATCTGCACGTACATTAGGTACAGCTAATGTATTTAGACAGGTCCTGCGTTATGAAATAAGTAGCTTTCTTTACCCAAGTAAAAGCCCGGAGAGACATTCCTTTTTTTCAAGGGAGACCTGGTAAAAACAACTTGTTTAGAACACCAAAAGCATTTAATACAAAACCTTAAGAAATGGGACAGAATAAATGTATGCGGTCAACATAGTGGCAAGCGTGTGTAGCTATTATCCCCCCAGCAATACAACGAATTGCCTTGATTCAGGGGCACGATGCAATTAAATAATTTCCAGGTTTTTTTGTCTCGTATTTGTCATCTCGTTGGCGTTATTTCTCGTTTTTTTTTGTATCCGTCTCATTTTTTTTCTCTCTCTCTCTACAGTTTCATTTGCCCCGTTGGCCTAAGCGTAAACATTACAATACAGCGCGAGTCTCGCACACATGCAAACTCCTGCAATGCACAGTAAACTCTCGGCTATCCTGGGCAACGTTGAGGTGGGTGACTCATGAAACGCAAGAACACACGGTAAATGCAAAGCAGCAAAACGTGTGTAAATTAGAGGCGAAGAACGTAAATTGTTTACATACGTGGAGTGTGCTTGGATGTCTAAATTGTGCCCTCTGCTTTTAAACTTCTTCGAGCCAATCGCGCTTACTTGTTGACTTGTTTGTGGCAATGTGGGCACTGAGTTCACTCGCTTGACCCTCGATGAGTGAAGAACAGCTAAACAATGAAACCAGCATGCACCTAAAAAATAGATGTTACTTATTTGTTCGCAAACCCGGATATGTAACCCACGGATAATCGAGAGTTCGCCGTATCACGAGTGTAAGAATCGAGTGAAATCTAGGTATCGACGCGTCGCCACCCGTCTGCCCGATCTTAAAACATTTCCGGCTGCAGCTCGCAGTGGGGGGCACCGTTGTGCGCGTGCTCACGGGGGGGGGGGACGCGCTGTCTCTGTCCGTCGTGAAAGTCCTGCTGCAGGAGCGCGTGGAGAACGACGACCTGGAGGCCAAGACGCTGAAGATCACTGATTTTGGGCTGGCCCGCGAGTGGTACAAGACGACGATGATGAGCGCGGCCGGAACCTACGCTTGGATGGCGCCCGAGGTCATCAAGTCGTCCACCTTCTCCAAGGGCAGCGACGTCTGGAGGTGAGTCCGTCGCGTCGTCCCGAGTTGTGCGTCGGCGAGCGTTCATGTTCGTACGATTTTTGAAGATGCGTGCCGATATCGCCCGTAAACATCAGTGGGGTCAAATTCCAAGGCACTGGTGTGTTTTCGGCTGTCGCGCCAAGATGTGTACGCGTCGCGTTGTCTCTTCATTTTACTATAATGCTTACATTCTTATGGGCAGCTTGATAAAGTGCTTCCGTCATAGCTACTTCTGGCAGTGGTTGGCAGGCACAATCCGCTGGTCTTGAACACTGCGAATTTCGTAATTGGCTGTGGTCAGTTTGGAATATCCACCATGACACAAGCAACTCTGTGGCTTTCCCTTGTGAATGATGGCATGGTCACGTAATTCCTCATTTGCAGCAGACAGCACACTTTGGGGATTGGGGTTGAACACTGACCTACTGACCAATCCGCTACCCATGTTGGTGACTGCCGATGCGGTTAGCTGAGCCTCAGGCTAACTGCCTAGGATGCTCTGAGAACACCTGTGCTGCCTCACCGTGCTTTTGGGTTTTTTTACTTTTCTTCCAAAATAGTTTCCATGGTGTTTTATTCGTGTCGTGTCAGTTCCTCTCACAGAGCAGTGTCGCCCAATCTGGTTCACACGGTAGTGGACCAGATAGATAGTAGTGGGCAACACTTTCCCACTTGGCCTGTTGCAGAGAGCATTGCTCAGCGCATGATAGTCAAACTGATATTTGTAATTCTCAGAGCTAGAATTTTGTCAAATTAAGCGCTTGCACACATTTTATGTGATGGGGTTTTTTTGGTACTGTCATTGGTGACCAGACTGAGACCATTAAAATCGTAGGCAGATTCTTGGATTTGAACCCAGGATCTCGGCGATGCCAGCTCATTGCAGTGACCTATACACCACCTTCCATGCCATCGAGTTTTCAGCGTTGTACATAGTAGGGAATGAAACGGGGCATGTAGCTTTACTGATTCTCATGATTTGAGACATGCATTTAATTGTGCACCTAAGAATTGATTATTTAGGACCCGTGCTGAATATATGTCCGTGTCACGTTTGGCATAATGAAACAAATGAGACGGTGTGAATGAAACCTAACGAAAAAGAGTACAGGGCAATCGATTCACGAGTGGATTTGTGGTCCTGAATCAGGCTGGGTTGCGTGTGGGGTTGAATTGTTCGCATCAGTAAATTAATCGTATCTAATACAGCGATACCTTGACTTTCGCCCACTTGACTTTCGTCGCTTCGCTCTTTCGGCCGTTTTCAATCACTACCACATTTCAAATTTTGTCCACGCGGCTTTCCTCTTTCATCCGATTTCATCCAAAACCTTCCTTGACGTTCGCGCCACACGCCATCTTTTTCACTCGGTCTTTGCATAGTCGTTCAATGAGCATCTCTTATATTTGTGCTTATTCATATGTTATTAATGCTGTACTTATTTCTGTGATTATACTGTAAACAATTCATAGTTCTTTTTTTACAGCAGTATAATGCTGCAGTGTTAATGGTTATTTTCCGCGATTATAAAACACGTGTACAGTATTCATACCGTGCTTATTTTTGTGATTACTGTAAAATACTTATTTTTGTGCTTTGATATATTCATAATGGGTCCTAATTGTGGTGATAGTAAAGCTAAAAGAACCCACGAGGTTCTCAATTTGCAAGAAAAGCTTGACATAGTCAAACTTAATGAGCAAGGCATGCCCCATGCTGATATAGATCGCAAGCTAGGCGTTTTTATATCTAGTTATTTGCATGTGCGTTTTTCGCCGGCCAAAATAAATTTGCAAGCTAAATAAAGGCTCTGCTTGACATTCGTCCATTTTTGACATTCGTCCATGCTCTGGTCCCTAACCAGACGAAAGTGCAAGGTTTTCCTGTACGAGCAGCATCGCCCTAGGTGCGAGTGGCCCTTCCCCCCAACACGCATCTCTGTCCGTCCACCCGACGAGGTGAAGCACCAGGACTTAATTTCCCATTGAGTCGCTGGTAGACCGGGCAGTGGCACGTGACTGGTAGCCACAGTGAGATGTGTACTGGATTTGGTGTGCCAGGTGCAGAAATATTTTATGGGTCGCCCAGCCGAACAAGGCCCGGCCGAAATGCAGCCCTGCTCACACATCCCCCCTCGCGCGTTTGCCCACCGCGTGCCCCCCCCCCCCTGCAGCTACGGCGTGCTGCTGTGGGAGCTGCTGACGGGCGAGGTGCCGTACCGCGGCATCGACGGGCTGGCCGTGGCGTACGGCGTCGCCGTCAACAAGCTCACCCTGCCCATCCCTTCCACCTGCCCGGAGCCCTTCTCCAAGCTCATGACCGGTGAGTGGCTCCCTGCCCCGCACTGCTGCCTTGCTCGATCCTTCGTTTGCCTGTCGTCGTTAAAGGGAGACGCGACCGGCAAAACAAAGCATTTGTTGTTACTTCACCTGCCTCGTGCTGCTCACGAGTCTTGATATCTATTTACGAGTGGTCGTTACTGAAACAGACGAGAGCTGGTTTGAGGCTAAAGTCTCTTTTTCAAGGGAGAGCTGTTTCACAGGAGTGATGCAGTACACGTGTAAATGAGTGTTGAAAAGAATTGCATATATATTCGGTTACCAAGCAAATTATGTGAACATGTAACAAAGTGCAAATGAAGCAATCTAAAAGTGTTGACGGGACTTACATTTAGGAACGAAATACATCAACGTATAATGCGTCTCCTTCAATATCCATCTCTCCACATAAAAAATGCAAGTAGTTCCTACACAACCCGTCAGCCACACGGCCTTCTGGGAGTGCGTAATTTCAATAGCATTGATTCTATGCAGGGAAACTCTGGACTGGTTTTGACATGCAGTGTCTCATCAGCAGAGATGACTACTTGGCGACTGCGTATGTTTCGGAAGCCTCCTAGTCTCGAAAAGAAGGACACAAGAAGTAGAGGAAGAGTGATTGTGCGGCACCGGAGAGGGACGTGAAACAGAGATGTTTAGATGTGAGCAGTGCAAGGCGATCTGTGCAGGACACACACAAGTCGAGGGACTTCATTGGGCCCATATCATCGCAGAAGGGAGAGGGAGAAGTCGCGTCAAAAGAGGTGTACACTGTGGTTCGAAAGCAATTGCGTTACATTCATCGTGTCCAAACGGCGAATATCACCACCCGATAAATACTCATTGGGAAGGGGAATAGCTTTAAAAGTGAAAGAGAAGCAGTGTTGTTCCGTGTAACGAGAGAAAAATCATATTAGCCTGTGACGTCGTTAGAGCCGTAAACACTCGTCATGTCATATCGGTGTCAATTTCATTGTCAATGAGGACATTTCAGAACGTTGATGCACCACTTCGCTCCTTCAAGACATTTAAAGAATTCCAGAAGTTTTTGTCATGAACCAAATTAAAACCTCATTTGAGACAGACCAAAGCATACAGCTCGTACCCAGAGCTTGAAACGCATGGATGGAAACACCAAGAGCTGTGTTTTTTGGGTTGTGTCTGCCCCTTAAGAGTAGCTGTGGGATACTGCACCTCACGTGTTACGCCCGAACAAGTTGAAACTTGATGTTTGCAAGGAGAATCGCTGTGGATCGTAAACGATCTGCCGCTCAGTCTGTTATTCTCGAGCTCTGTTGACTCTGCTACGCGCTTGTGATGGAACCGCTTTTATACTTGCTGCGATCGAAAAACAACAAGTGCAAAACATGTTCATCTCAGCGCGGCAGCGATGACACCAACAGTGGTTGGTGCGATCGCTGCGCTTTGGTTGGTTCTTGAGCTGCACCGTGTGAAACGCTATCGTATTATCTGAATTTGACGTTGCGCAGTCCGCTTGCATTGCATGTACCAAGACCACCGATTTTTGTTTTAAGCCATCAGCCCATTGGTCGATTCGATAACATTCCAAAGGCCAAATGTGTATCACGTGACTGGCAGTAGTGTGGCAAGACCTCCCGATCAATTGAGAAATGTGTTTTTTTCCTCCACGAAACTTCCTGACTCGTCTACCCCCGTGGTGTGGCGTGGTGTCGGAACACATTGCCGTAGCTATTGAGTGTGCAGGCCGTGCAATTGCACCGAGGCACACGGGCCTGACAGGCTTGGGCACGGTGCTATGAAGAGGGGGTGAAATTGAGCCGGGTAACCCCATTTCATTCCCTCCACCGGGGGTCCATGCCAACCATGCTTTTGCCACTGTCCAAACAGGCTGCTTTGCCCACACAAACGTGGCATCGCCTCCCAGGCACTCTCTCCAAACTCTTATTCCAGTAATTATGTTTTAGTTGACGTTAAGAGATTATTCTCGCCCACAACCAACTCCAGGCACTTCAAGGTCAGTAGGAAACATAAATATTATTTTTTATTATCCTTTACGGTATTTAATGTGAAGCGCAGCCTCATTGTAAACCACGTATTTCTGTAGCAGTAGTGGCAGCAGCAGTTACTGACGCTGGAAAATACCCTCTGAGAAGGCCGTTTGGCCGAGGGGGTTTATGAAAAAAAAAGTTACTTATGTTTTACGTGGTAATACAAATATGGGAAGTAGGCGAATTGTCTACTTATTTATTACGCGTTCATGAAGCCTGTCTTCACCAGGCAAAAGTTTAAAATATGTAATAATTAGCCTGATATGATTGTTTTAATCTAAATCAGACGGTACCAAAACTACTCCAAATATTCGTATTTTTTCCGCAAAAAAATGTTGTTAAAGAGTTGTTTCAACTTATATTTAAAGACGTTCCCATCAGAAACCGCGCAATTTAAAGATTTCGTTCTTTTTTATTAGAAAGTACATAAATTAATGAACTTGATACTCGTTTTCGAATTCAGATTTGAACATCATTTAAATGCGTATTTTTTTCGTTCAAAACCGCGTTAATCCGAAATATCTAAAAAACAATAAAAGATAGAACCAATGGTTCTCGCTTAAAATTGATTTGCTGTTTAACGCTCTACGAAAGGAAAAAATCTCGCAATCTTATACAGTATTTTGAACGGTTTCTAAATGACTGTATAGGGCACTTAAATCGATGTTTGGGGGCCTTAAAATGTCAATTCTCGGATTTTCCCTGTTGCTTGTGTCCTAAAAGCTACATTATGTACCAAATTTCAGCTTTCTACCTTGTCGGGGAAAGTCCCCTAGAGGTTTTTGAGACATACAGATCGAGGTCTTTATCGAGGTGAAAAACAATCCTACGTCATTTTTTGATTTAAAGCTTTCGTGACTGCAGGGATTCATATTATTGGTTCTTTCGGTAAAGTCACGTGACTTTAACGAAAGACCCAAGAGTGAATCCTACGTCACTTTGGGGGAAGTCCCTGCGTGTGGATGCGTGAGCCTATGCTGCCCCCTGTTGGAGGTATGCAGACCCTGCAGACGGTTGCCGAATGGCTGTGTGTGCAGAGCATAGCACGGGGAAGGGAAGGCTTGCTGCTGTAGATATTATTTTCTCCGCGAGGTGGGGCCCCGGTGGGGGCGGGTGGGTTAATAAAATGAGAGTGGCTCCTTCGCTCACGTTGAACTCGGGTTCAGGATATGGTGGTGAGGCACGGGTGGACAAGTGGGCGCCAACGGTGACGAGATGTCCAAACGTCCCGCAGGTAATTCCAGTGGCGAAAGCCGCGAGCTAGCAGCGCAGACCCAGCCTCGGTGGGCTTAGGTGTGTGCGGTCGTGCTGTCCCAGCGGCGGCTGTAGAGGTAAGGGTTGAGCGATCCGCGCTGCCTCACGCGTAGGCTGCACGCTGGAGAAACGTGTCAAATGCAAAACAAGTTGCCCGAGCGTGAGAGAGGGAGACGGAGTGCGGAGGCCCGATAATTTGCGACAAATGGTAGCACCTCGAGTAACTGCAGGGGTGATGTGAACCCATTACCTACAACACATGTACATTTACATGCGGTGGTCGCAACGAGCCGATATACAACGGGATATATTACCGGCAATTCTCAGCAGGCCAAACGCGTATACCGGCAGTTTTCGGACCGCTTCCGATTCCTATACAGAATGATAATGTTTCCACAGAGGGGAGACTGGAGTTGACGCAGGCTGCAGGACGAATAGATTTAATACCAGGACTCTATATATTTCCATTTCCACCACTGCCTACACATACAGAATGTTGGAAAACAGAGTCCCCTCCGCACGCCGTGCGGGTCATGGAGGTTATTTGACCACACTTCACTACACTGTGTATGAAAAAAGAAAAGGCTTGAACCTTTCTCGAAATTAATACAGGTGTTAAGATGTTCAAATGTCGCAAGGCATCCAGTCTGCTTTAACCACACGTGCGTGCTTGTCGTAAAACATTCGCACGAACGGTGCTTTAATAATGTTTGTATTGGACTTTGAAACTGATTTGGCCTTGTCTCACCAGTACCAGACCAGCGAACACCAAAAGGCAAACAAGCATCAAAGGCAATGCAAACAATAAAGCATTAATAGCTCAGGTGTAACTGTTATTTGTATGGTCCCATCCATATAACTGCGTGTATATCGTGAACTTAATAATAGATAATAATAATAAATGTATTGTATGAGTCGATGCATCATCGTTCCCGCCCACAAAATAATAATAACCGCTCCGCCTGTCCTCCCCCGCGATGCGAGCGCAGAGTGCTGGGACCCCGATCCGCACTCGCGACCCCCGTTCTCACGCATCCTCGACGAGCTGGTGGCCGTGCAGGAGTCGGGCATCTTCCACATCCCGCAGGAGTCCTTCCACTCCCTGCAGGACGACTGGAAGCTGGAGATCCAGCACATGTTTGACGAGCTGCGCGCAAAGGAGAAGGTACGCTGTGGGCCGCCCACCGCCACTGGCTGCCAGCCAGCCGTCCACGGGGAGGACTCTGTGGGAGCAACACGTTGACGCACAAGCTCGCGTTCCACCCTAAAAAAGCATCCACTGCACAAACTGTGGCAGGTGCTGCGGGACACAACTGACGCACAGATGGAAAATAAAAAAAAAAAACTCTCCAGTGCTTGGTCATTGCAGAACAAGACCATGCAACGCATAACGAACGCAACGCCGGATCCACAAATACGAAGGAGACATCGCAGCGACACACTCCGCTGCTACTGACGCAGTTATCTGGTTTGACCACCTAAATGTGAAATTGTAATCGTTTGCCCCTGCATCTACATCAGCCGCACGAAAAGAGAAGGGACTTACCCCGGAGAACGCCGGCCAATTGATGAAAAATCAAAACGAATAATTTGGTGATGCTGCGTTTTGCGATGGTGCACGAGAACAAATAACAAAAACGCTCAACGCATTTGTTCACATTGGTTCTTGACCGATCCGTCGAGTTCGTTTTGATCAAAGCGTTGGCCCAACAATCTGGAGACGACAGCCGGTGTTAAAAGGAAATGCACAAAACCAGCGATAAAATGAAACGCACGCATCCCCTCCCCCCTCCCAGTGACGTAATCACTTGTGACGTCGTGCGGCTCGAAACACTGTTATCCTGAGGACAAACGCACGTTGGAAAGCGTTGCAGAATCTTTGCGTACGCATGCTTATTTTTCTTCTCCGTTTAGAAACGTACATTTTGCCACTTGAAAAAGTTCACCTCAACGGAGGTGCGCCCCCCCTCCCCACACCCCTCCCCACCCCTCCTCCGTCGTTGATCGCTGCGCGCAGGAGCTGCGCACGCGGGAGGAGGAGCTGATGCGCGCGTCGCTGCAGCAGAAGTCGCAGGAGGAGCTGCTCAAGAGGCGCGAGCAGGAGCTGGCCGACCGCGAGATCGACGTGCTGGAGCGAGAGCTGCACATCCTCATCCACCACATCTACCAGGACAAGCCGTGCGTCAAGAAGCGCAAGGGGCACTTTGCGCGCGCGCGGCTCAAGCTCAGCAAGGACGGCAACCGCATCAGCCTCCCCTCAGGTTTGCGTGGTCCCCGCCGCGCCCACCCTACCGTCCCAGAGCGCTACCGCACCTTGCCCACCGCACGACTAGGCCCACACTGCTTCACCGATTGTATGTAAAACTGACTGTCGCACATCAGCAAATGATCCACCTTTGGTCCACCTCTGAGCCACACCACTCTTCTGTTCCTAGGCCTCTCCGTTCTCTTCCCATCTGTACACCGTGTAATGTTTTTTTTCTTCTAAAAAATAAAATAACTTTTCTGTGATTACGTTACCGCTGCATCGATGACCAATATCACGCGTAATTGTGGTGTAAATGGCCAAAATCACATTCCATGCCTCTCTTGGTAAATGTAAGGAAGAGTATATGTTAATGGTTTTGACAAAATCAAAGGATTGACTGTATGATCGAAATTAAATTAAACTTGACAATGATTCTCACTGCATAATGTGTTGCGGTGGTGGCGTGCAGCGTTGGCACGGTAGTTAGTGCACTGCAGCGTGAACCTGGCCAGCTGAGTTCCATTCCCGGCCAAGGCTAACATCGGTGACATGTGATATCTGAACCTGTCCTTGCCCCCCCCCCCCCCCCCTACATCGAATGTCACTGACCAGCGAGGTAAAGTACTATCAAACAACTCCCACAAGCGACCCGGCTTAGGGATGCCTTGGCCTACGAGTGGATTGACTTAGGGCTGTCAATTATCAGAATTATCAACGTGGGTTCACGGAAGTGCCCATATCTGCTGCTTTACTTGTGCGCCACGGTGGAGAGACGTTAACCACCTCGCCTGGTATAAAGAAGGTCGTGGGTTCAATCCCAACTCTGATGCCTGTATATTAGAATTTGCGGGTTCTCCCCGTGGTCGCGTGGATTTTTCTCCGAGTCCTCCGGTTTTTTCCCTCCACATTTAGAATCAGCGTCGGGCGTTCAGAGTATTTGTCTGCTATAAATCTCCACACGATAAGCCACTTTGTTGAGCTATCATTTGTGCCCAGGTCACTTTGGATAAAAGCTATTGAGCTCAGTGGGTCTTAACTGGTAAAATAACAATAGTGTATAATTGCCTTTTTTTGCATTCGTGGTTCTGATTAGTTTTCGTTTTTAATCGGCGCCACTGCGTTTTCCAGACTTCCAGCACAAGATCACGGTGCAGGCGTCCCCCGACCGCAGGATAAGCGTCGACACCCCGCCCGGCAGCCCCGCACTCATTCCCCGCTTGCGCGCCATCCACCGTGGGTCTCGCACGCACGTTGCACCCACACGCGCGCGCGCGCACACACACATTTGCATATACGCATAAGATATTTTACGTGCAATTTTATTGAGAAACTGTGTGTTGTCTTGGTGTGGTCTGTGACTATTTTTGTTGTTGTTTTGTTGCCTTGCCCAAGTGTGGGAATTGGTGTACTTATGCAATTTGAACTTTATCTATTTTACGTATTTATTTTTCGTGATTTGCTTACCTTTCCCATACGTTGCACTCCCATCTTTATTTTATACATTGTTGCTGTAACTTTCTGACCTGCCCCTAATGGACATCTGTGGGAAAAGAGCTTCATAGCTCATCGGATTTCTCCAGGATGACTAAAGATTCTGATTCTGAGATTGTTCCCTCTGTGGTGCCCTCACCGGTTGCGATGACGGACTGCAGTGTCCGGATCGAGCGGGGCGAAGCTGTGGGGCCGCAGCGCAGGCTCGCCGAGAAAGGAAGACGATCGCAGGAACGGGGACAAGAAGGGGCGAGGGAGGGGAGGCGTCCCTGGGCCTCAGAGGGAGAGGAGCAGCCTGGAGGACAGGTGCGTGAGCCTCCCACTCTCTCCCTTCCCACTGGTGCTCCAGCAGCGTCACAAGCAGCGGGGAGCTCTGAATGTGTTAGGAGGGTCATACGTTGAAACCACAGATGTGTTTTACACTCGCAGGATTGATGACCTGGTGAGGTAGCCAAATGGCTCGGAGGTCAGTGCTGAGCTGGTACCACTAAGATCCTGGATTCAAGTTCTCGTGCGTAGCGAGTTAACGGCCTTAGTCCAGTCATCAAGTCACTGCACACACAAACAAACCTCATTCAAATTGGTTTTGCACTTCATTTTTATCAATTCCAGCTGTACTGCCTTCTCCTGGCGAGCTAGGGCATGGCACATCTTCAACGTCCACGGGAAGGGAGTTTCACAACATTTATAAGATCACCAACTCTCGCCTCCACAGTGCTGGATTACTGGTGTGCCCCACTGTCGCCTGGCTTGGAAAAAGAAAAATACACAACAGGCGACACCTTGGGCCAATGGCTCTGACCCACAATGCGTGCGCGGTGGGGACGGCCCATTGTTCCGAGGCTTGTGTTTTACCTTTTGTGGCACCGTTTTCGACGCATGTGTTGCGTTCTTTATTGTTTGTGCGTGCGTGTCCACCGAATATTAGATTTAAAAATATCAGTTTCAATGTCACGTGACAAATGTTACTGTCAATGACGGAGAGGATTTGACAAAAGGCTGTGCCCTACTTGTATGCAAGAGATGTCACTCGAAGGGATCTCAGATATAGCTCTTTGACCTTTGCTTCTCGAGGCAGTTCTCTAACCCAATGGGTTGCACTGCTCTGCGAGAGATGGAATTGTCTTCTGTCTCGTGATGTGACGTCGACAGCACAATCAGGATATAATTGGGGAACAGTATTTAATGATAAAAATACTATCTGGGTAGTGTGACCGTTGTTAAACCATCCACAAGAGATGAGTTCACTGTGTAACAAAATAAATGTTTTGTTCCTGGGTAGTAAATATTCTTTCCTAATTGCTTATGCCTCAAAAGTACAGAAACTGGCTATTATTCCACACAAACTTTGCTTTTGTGACCAGGTCACAATTGACCTATTGTCAATGAGAAAACGCTGTGTGCATTTGTGTCATTCCTTCACGTAAAGTCCTGGTCACAAAAGCAAAGTTTGTGGGGGAATAATAATAGCCATTTTCTATACATTTTAGGCATAAGCAATAAAAAATAACACTTTCTACCCGGGGACAAACATCGTGTATACATAGTGTTTTCAGATTTTGTTCAACGTTTAATCCTTTTTAAATGTTTTGTTCCCCAAGCAGGATAGACGAGATTGGGAGAGAATCTCCTGATGGGGTGCTACAGACGGAGGAGAGCGAAAGTGACGGCAGGTTCGAGCTAAACGCCCCTGGCACATTCATACACTGCAGAGGATTATGTGCCACTTGTGAAGCCACGTAATGTTTCACCGTGTGCGTCCGCGACCTTTGCTATCGCCGTTTCAGCAGACTCAAGCCTGTGGCGAATGGGATCAAGGTGAGCCCAGGAGAACTCCCAAATCCCCGGCAGCTGCTGCGAGGAGTCCAGTCTTCGCCCGCAACGCCCAGCGGCTCTCGCGAAACGGGTGAGTTCTCACTACGAGCCCCCCATTATACACTTTTTACATGTAAAGCCCTTTCGTCAGTCCACTTCTGGATGAGTTTGCCACCTTACGCCTGCGCGTGGTCGTGTTTTTTTGGCCGTGTTTTTCCACGCTGATCAGTGCGGGTTGATCAAGGCGGGGAGCGTAAATGTAGACGTACAGTACGAAGATGGATTTTTGCTGCACTTACCCAATACTTCAGACCATGTAACCCGGCAAACCCAATGAAAACATGTCTGTGCACGCCCAGCCCAACACTATCCAGGCACACGTGTTTAGATTGGACACTGATCTACGTTGCGCCATGCGGCACGTTGCAATGTCACAGCGCATTGCTCACTTGACGTCACAGATGTTAATAAAACAAAAATCGGTTTTCAACCTTTGTACGAGACAAATGGATGGCAGCACCCCCCCCCTCCAAGTGTTTCACACCAATGGATATCCCTTACCGATCCCTGCAGAGGGTGCTCGTTAGCCACGAAAGCAAGTGTAGCTGTGTTTGACACAGTTGGGAGTACAGGTTTCCCTGGCTTTATGCGGGTTCGTTTTGTGCAATTTCACACGACATGCGGCTAACCTATTTCTACCCAAAATTCCGGGCGTGCAGGTCGAATATGCTCACACGCGGCAATGCGGCGGTCGGACATGAGACAACATTGGCTTTGTGCGTGCTGTACGTGGTACTCGGGCAGGCAGCTGTCTCGTGCGGCGCATTGTGGGTTGGGTGACACAGCGCACCGTGCTGCGCGACTTCGCTTTGTGCACCCCCTTTTTGTGAAACGCATCGACCGCATGAAGCGAGGGAAAACCTGTACGTGCCCGGTGAACATGCGAGGTTGGCAAACAGTTGGAACCCGTTGGACCAACGGTGTCCCCAATGTTCCATGTGTAATGACAGTTGAGTCAACCTACGGTGTGAGTGGACTAGTGGCCACGGGAGGCAATGACAGGGGAGTCAGCCTACAGTGTGAGTGGACTAGTGGCCACAGTAGGCAATGACAGGGGAGTCAGCCTGCAGTGCAAATGGACTAGTGGCCACAGGAGGTAATGACAGGGGAGTCAGTCTACGGTGTGAGTGGACCAGTGGCCACGGGAGGCAATGACAGGGGAGTCAGCCTATGGTGTGAGTGGACTAGTGGCCACGGGAGACAATGACAGGGGAGTCAGCCTACGGTGTGAGTGGACTAATGGCCACAGGAGGCAATGACAGGGGAGTCAGCCTGCAGTACGAGTGGACTGGTGGCTACGGGAATGATCGAGAATAGGAGCGTGGCCAGGTGACGAAAGAGGACGGTGGAGTCAGCTGGTAGAACGAGCGGTCTCGAACCAGCGAGAAGGTTCGGGAATGGGGCGTGGCCGCGGACCGTATACAAGGGAGACTCGGGGCTGTTGCAGTGGGATCTCCGCCTGGTAGCGTGTGAGCACGTGGCTCCTTAAATAAAGAAACCATCTCAAGACAAGTGCGTCGAAGTCGTCTTTATACATGTATTCTGGGTGGGAGCTGGATACCTGTAAGTAACGAGTGCGTACAAAAATTGATGCGTTAGCGCACGAGTTCCTGGACCGACGCACGCGGTGTAAACTTTTGTTTTGGCGACAGGGTTGGTTAAATCTCGCAGACAACGTCACGTGCATATGACACAGATCTGCAGGGCTGTGAGGTGGTCTTTAGAAGGCAGTGCTGCAAGTAGGTTGTTGAACTATGTTGATGCATTTGTGTTATTCCTTCTATACTTGTGTGCTTCATGTGGATTGAGACTCGGCGAGGCTTTCCTGGGTGAAAGGGCGTTATTATTTCCATCTTTACACATTGCACGATCGCTGCGCTCACCACAACTGCTACCAATATTATCGCAATCACCGCTGCCACCACCATCATCACCACCACCTAGTCGTAGCGTTACACATGCTATTGTTATTGTTACATTTGAGCGTGCATTTCTCCGGCAGGTGATCGGAACGTCAGGAGGACAAAGCAGATCATCCGGCGCCCGAATCTCTCCTGCCTCAACCTCTCCTCGCGCCACGGCGGCACGAGCGATGAGTCCACGAGTGATGACGACCTTGAGAAAACCGCGGTCGCCACCGCAACCGCAGACGATGACGACGATGTTCCCGGGGCCACGTGCGATTCCTCGGGCAGTGCCACCCCGCACGACACCCCGCACGACACCCCGCGACACACGCCGCGGCACACGCCGCGACACACCCCACCCGACGTCCTGCCCCCGGTCCACCAGGTCTCCAAAGACAAGTGAGCGCCCTCGTGCCTCTAATAAATGCAACAGAATCTCCGAAATGTTTGATGGACAGCTGTTAAGTGGGTTTGAGTTTCCACAGCCGGTCACTTGGCCTCCCTGACCACGCACTTTTCTGCGCCTCGTCCCCCTGCAGGGAGCACCGCAGTGGAATAGCGCTGTTCGGTTGTGCCGCGGTGCTGTCGGTGGTGGCCCTCGGTGAGGACGTGCGTCACGCTGGGCGCATCCCGCCCGCTTCCCAGCAGCAAGAGCGCAAGCGAGCAGCGTTTTTCCAGCGCGCGGGGCTGTTCCGTCGCAGCGCGGGAATGTCCGTGCAGTGGAGGAAGTCGCCACGGGAGGGCGGCGGGGTCAACGGTCCGCAGGGGTCGCCCTCGTCGTCCCTCTCCATATGCAACTCGACGCGCTCCTTGCTGCGCTCGGACAGCGAGGACACGACGCACTGGCCCCACTGGCCGGAGGGGTCACCGATGTCGTCGCAGGTCACCCCTGGCTCCCCGGCCGACCCGCTGTGCGCCAGCCTGCACTTTGAGCCGGCGGTCAGAGGCCACCAGCGGAATGCGTCTGACAGCACCATCACTGACGTTTCGCTCGAGCAGCCGGTGTCAAACGGCGTGTGCATCTCCTACCAAGCTTTACCAGGTTTGAGTTATTTTACGATCCCTTAATAGGAAGATGCAACCAAAACATCGAACAGCTTTTATTTTGTAGGTACTTAAGCTGGCCTGTGAGTTCTGGGCTGTCCGATAATCAATTCGGTGCTTCTTTAGTGACAAAATAGACTTCAAATTGTCTTTTTTTCTCGATTTAAAGCTTTCGTGACTGCAGGGATTCATATTCTTGTTTCTTTCGGTAAAGTCACATAGAAAGGAAATAATAAAATAATTTGTTTTATTATTTCCCTTCTACGTGAATTTACCAAAAGAACCAAGAATCTTAAAATTGTTAAGTGCCACATGTTTTTAACACATGTCAACACAGTTATGTCACCAGAACAGTGATAGCATAATCGCGTTTTAGTTTATCAGCATACAGGTTTTCTCTGCGAATGTTTGTCATTTCTTTCATTACGATGGACTAAAGTGTTGCGAAACGGACCCTGGTCTATTGATTATTTTATTCTGTTACCCACTGTCCTTCATGACAGCACATACCACATCTTGGATGAATGGAGATTGGTTTTAACCTCTGTGCAATCTATTCACTATAATCTCTTAACTCCGCTGATGACGAGAGATTGGCCACAGCTTGGGAGAGAGAGAGGCCTTCATCGAGCAGTGGATCGATCGTGACTAATAACGATGTTCATGAATGTCTCCCTTCAACAGAACCGGCGACAGTGCTGATACTGAGCCCACCGCCGCCGGCGGGACACCCTTCGTCCCCGGAGCGGCCCCGCACGCTGGCGCTCACCGCCAGGCCACGCCCCTCGCCGGCGCTCGCTCACCGCGATCCCTGGCGCGTCGTCTCCTCGGCGACGACAATTCTGGACCCGGCGTCCGGCCAGAGCTCCGGCTCCGACACGCCCACCAACCCCTGGCCGGAGCCGCTGGGCGCCAAGTGGCTCGCCGCGAGCGACGCGGAAGAGCGGAGAGAGCCGCCGCCGCCGCCGCCGCCGCCACAGCCACAGCCCCGCCGCCCCCCCTCGGAGATCGCCACCCTCCTGGACATGGACGTTGACGGCCAGAGCAAGGACGGCACCGTACCGCTGTCGGTGCGCCTCAACGCCTTGCGGAAGGACCGCCCCATATTTTACGAGCTCGAAAGACAGTTCCTTGGACAGTCGTAACCTTTTTAAACGCGAGTGGTGTTTTTGCAAGGAGGCGCAGGTGTTCAGACTCATCCTCGCGAGTCAAACGCAGTTCGTACGCATGAGGCAGGGCTCGGTAATTTGCAAAGATAACTGCGAAATGGGATGCGCAAGTCTGCTTGACAAGTATTGCGTCTGTCGGCGTTCCCTATACTGGGGAGAAAGCAAAATGCTTCCGGGTCACCTTTGAAAAGCCGACCCTTTGTTCAAGATTGGTTTTATGTATGCGTGTGTACATAAAGAGGGACTACAGTTCTTGTTGGATAGAGATCTTGGAGACGAAACATTATCATTCCCTCAACAGACATTGACGAGACGGACGCTGCACAAGGGAAATTGTCACGTGGTCTCGTTACGTCTATCACAGCTGTTACTGCCTGCGCGTAAAAGGGTGCTATGCATCACATCGCAGAAATACTTCATCTCAGCTTTGGCTGCGCTAATGACCTTCGGGAGCAAATTAAAATATCAGTACGAAACTCCTATTTAAAGGGCTTTCTCTGCACAACCAAATACACATGGGCGTATGATGTCTCGTTTAACATGCACAAGGCTTTTTTTTTTCTCTTGAGGATGCTGGATTGGATATGTGTAAATGTGTAAAAAGTAAAAAAAAACAATCATAAATGCGCAATAAGCAATGACGTTTCGTGGTGCATGTTAAACTGATTGCACATGGTTACCCTGTGCAGGCTGCCGCTTGCTGTGAGTTTTGCCGAACTTACGCGTTTCTTTTTGTTAATATTGCGGACGTACGAATGTCATCCTTGAGTATCGCTTTCTTCCAAAAAAAAAGGTGCGCGAGCCTCGGGGAGAGGAGAGCAGTCGGCGTTGTGACGTCGTCTCGGAGGCAGTGAGGGTCACCGGGGGGGGGGGGGGCGGGGGGCGGGGGGTGGAGTGACTTTAGGATGAAAGTTCGACGACCACGGTTTTTATGCAAGTCTGTAAATGGGTTTCGCGGAGTAGTACTACTATACCGACATATGGGGTGTGTGACCACTCTCGAGCATAACTTGTCTAATGTTACGTGCAATGGGCTACTTTCACTGACGCGAAGGCGTCTGCAGAAGGGCCTTGAATGTGACGAGGAGAGCTGGCTCTGAGCTCACCGGCTGTCTCTCTTCGTCATCGGCTCACAGTCTCTCAGGCCTCACACCCCGCTTTCCAGTTTTGTACCCCACCATTTGGTTACCACGCCAGTCCTCTGCTAGCCACACGCAAGCTGGATCAGCGAGCGTTGGGTGCTTCAGCTAGGGTTGCCACCCGTTTTCTTTTTTCTAGGATCATTCTCCTGTCTGAGGTAGCTGTCGTTCGTCATCCCGGGACATTAGAAGTCTTGTTTTAGAGTTTTGTGTTTGTTTTTGTCAGTTGCATAATAATACACAACTCAAGACAATTCACTGACGTGTAGTTTTCTCTCTCTTAGGGTATTGTGAGATATTCTTCTTCCCATGAATGGCCTTCATTTTGTTTGTACCACAGACATGACAAGCCTAGCTACAGTTGATGGGATGACAAAGAGGTGGACCACGGTGGTGGTAGTGGTGGGAAAAGGCCTGAGGTCCGAGCCGCCGCTTGCGTCCCACGGAGATTTATTTGGTTGTCCGCGCGCCGCGTGCAAAAATGTGAATGGGCATTGGCGGTAGCTGAGCCCCCCCAAAGTGGTGAGGAACAGCAGGTGCCGCCTGTAGTCGGTGCACTGGACTGACAACGTCGGGGCTCGTCGGGGTCACCGTGCGGCATAACCGCACGCGGCGCGAGAACCGACGATGGCGCGTTTCAACGTCCCCGTTGATGGTCGCTTGCGGGAGGAATACCCGCCCAGCAACTAAGAGTACCGACGGAATGACATGTGCGCATACTTTATTCGCGATCGAGCAAACACTTCAATGCTGTTCTGTAATATATGTAAATGTACCCAAATGTCGGTTGGTTCCCACAAGGGCCTTTAGGTGTATTAAATTAAAGGCATAAGAGAAGACTTTTTTTTTAACAAAAAATAATTTATGCGATGAAATGCCGGCTTCGGCGCGTTTGCCGGCGACTCTGTGCCAGGACAAGCGAGTGCCAAGCGGGCTTGGAGCTGCCCCCCAACGCGGCGTCGTTCTGTGGTCACGATTGCTACGATTTGTTGCCTCTTGTTGGTAAAGTTTGGCGCGATGTGGGTTAACTCCTTCTGGGCATGAATATGGAAACCAACACCACCCGTGGATTAACTTTTTACGCACTAAAACTGTCGGCGTGTGGATATTCTCATTTATTTATTCACGCCTGTTGATATGACAGCGGAATTGTTCTCGTCATTTCGCTATTTGACTGTTCTACGAAATGGGTAGGACGATGCGATACGATCGGAGAACTTACAAAATGTCCGGACATTCACAAAGCGCGAACGATGCGGGATGGGGTGGGGGGAGGTAATAAATTGGTGCCGCGTTTGGGTCTCTTGCGTTAACGAACAAATCGAGCGTCGGTCCGAGGTCGAGAATCTTCCGTGTATGAGTAACTCTTCCAGCTCATCACGCAGCGCGTTGGGTATTAAAATAAATTAAGGACAAACAAGCGTTGTTCTGTGTTTTATATATATATATTTTTTTACCTGAACAGTGCAGCATGTGGATTTATGTTGGTGAAAAGCTTTGGAAAATCCGTACAAATATTCCATGTGTGGCCATGATAACCTCTGCATCTGTTTTATACCAAGAGGAGGCGAAGCCTGCATGCGAGTGAATTGTCTTGAGTTGCATTTCATGATGCAAATGGACAAAAACAAGACTGCTCATGTACCGGGCATGACTAATTGATTTCATACGACAGCTACCTCCACAAGAGAATGATCCGAGGAAAACCAAAACCAGGTGGCGGTGGCAACCCGAGCTGGGGGCACCCAACGCTCGCTCGTCCAGTTTGCGTGTGGCTCGCAAGGGACTGGCGTGGCAACCAAACGGTGTCGCAACCAAACTGTCGAAGCGGGGTGTGAGGCCTGAGAGACTGAGAGCCGATGGCGAAGAGAGACAGCCGGGTGAGCTCAGAGCTGGCCGTGCCAGCCCTTGATAGGTCAGCAGTGAACATTCTACATTTTTGCGATGGGGAACAAGGTCCACATCACGACAGGACGACGGTTTTGTGATCTCCAACCCCAAGTGGGGCATTCTTATCCAGAGGGAATGTATATTTTATGAATGTCGGAGGGATGATGCATGACTATAAGGAGAAACCAAGGGGTGGGAACATGCCCCAGAGTAGCTGCGAGTTTATACCACGAAGGTGGAGTAATTATTATTAGGAAACCACTGAGCTATAAACTTAAATTCATATTGAAAACTAAATTCTTTATCACTGCTTTTTGTGTGCATTTTGTTTTTCCCCCGCACCTCCAATGAGCACGGTTGGCTTCGTACGGTGCGAACGAAGCTCAATGTACATTTGTAATAAAATCAGCTCGTGTGCAACTCCGAGATGAATTGTCGCATTGCCAGACCGCAAGATGTGGCAACGGCTTAGGGAGAGGCCGTCATCCAACAGTGGCTCGACCATTGGCCGATTATGATGAGTTGCATGATGAACCAAGTTGACCATGCCAGGGAGCGAACTTGCATCACAACTAGGACCCCTGCCGATTCATCACCCGAACGATACCATGGCTATGCTGCAGGTGACGACCGTGCATTATGCGGGGATTTTGTGAAGTGTATGCACATACTGTACAGCCATAACATTGCACCTAGGATCGTGAGAGATGGTGGCAGCTTGGGGTGGCCTCCATCCAGCAGTGTATTGACCATGACCAGCACTGATAATGATGTGCACATATAGGCGCAGTGCGGGTAATTACGCTGCTGCGTGAAGAATGTGCCCAGGTGGCTCGTGCTCTTTAAGTTAACGAGTTCAAATTCTGGATGGGGGTTGACCTTGCCCATCATCCTCCTGGGGTCAATACAATGAATACCACTTTGTTGGGATGTCATTTGTGGCTGTCTTATCGATAAAGACTCGCCCCCGCTATCGAATGAATGGGAAACTTCCACCACCGACTTGGGGCTGTAGAAAGGGATGTGTGCACCGCCTCAACGTTCGTCTGAGCAGAAAATCATTTTGACACCGACTGTACAAATATAAAACAGAGTAGCCCTTGCTCTCGTCACGTGCGCCCGGACCTTCAGCCCGCGCCTGATTGCGGTGCAATCCCCGCGTTGCCCATTTCACGCTTAAGCGATTTCATGGCCGGCGCTGGTAGCGCCGCGGGGGATAGAGCCTCTTGTACCCGAGCCCTCCCTCTATCAACCTCCCCATTAACCCCGCTATCAACCCCTCCATGAACCCATGACATCACCCCCCCCATCGTCCCTGGGCACACAAGACTTCTCTGTCCTAGCCACATCGCCGCGTAATTCTTATCTCCCTTCTCAAATGTTAAGATGAAGTAACGAATTTTTACGAGTTAACGTTCCGCCAGTCTTGACAGCACAGTGCCGCTATTCACTCGGGCCCAGTATTTTTTTGTTGTTCTGCTGTTGCTAAGTGTGTAGAGATAAATTAAATCCCTCGGTTGTGAAATGATGCCTCAATACTACTTCTATTCGAGCGGCGAGACGAAACAGATTATTAGCCTCGTATCGCGTATATAGATTTTTGAAGAAAATCATAGGGAATTAAATGATAGGCAACTTAGAGGTCAAAGCACCGCACGAGCATGTTGCATATTGAGATTTTCTTCCAAGATCGATTAATACAGAAAAATATGAATATAAAATACTATTTTCGCCTAGGTTTTGTAAAAGATGACGAAAGCATTTCATTCAGTGCAAACTGATGCAATTACCCAATCTCTTACAAACCCAGGCATTAATTCTTGCTGCCTGGGCTCCTGTCCGCCCCAACAATAACAAGTCTGTGGTTTGGTTCTTTCGGTAAAGTCACGTAGGTAAAAAATAGAATGAAAACAACTAAATTAAATCACGACGTTTCGGGTGCAACACAAGCGTCCGTCATCAGGTGGGGACAACCACAGCGAAAAAAACTATCGCTGAAGCGTCGTGATTTAATTTAGTTGTTTTCATTTTTGTTTTATTTTATTTTTACCTACGTGACTTTACCGAAAGAACCAAAGAGTATATGGATCCTTGCAGTCACGAAAACTTCTGTTGTTGTCAGTGGCTGCTGCGGGCCGTTGCTGTTGAAACGGTGGGAGAAGTGCGAGACCGTAGAGGCGGGAGTAGTGAATACAGAAGACTGACACGGTTCATTTAAGGTTGCTCTTTTCAATTTGTGCTCCTATGTATGGAAATACTTTCGCCGGAATATTAATTAAATCCTAGAGAATATAAAAAAACCATCTAAAGATATTATATTGGCATTTCATTAGATAAAAAAAATACTTTTAGTGTTCCGAGTACAGGATTGTGAGAAGAGTATGGCAATGACTGTTTTTTCATTTTCTGTTGCCGAGTAACGGGGTCCTCTGATTATATATATCTTTTTATATTCAAAACCATTTGCAAGGATGGTAGAGTCCATTCAGCTCAGATGTATTAAAGAAAGTAACGAAAAGACAAATCGGAAGAGGACTAACTGGGAGTCATGAGGAATGAATGATAAATTCAAAAATAATTTGAGTGTTG